GTGCCGAGCGCATGGCGAAGGAACAGCTACCCATTTTTTATCGACTTAAGTCAGTCGCGGCCGAGATTCAAACTCACGACCTCCAAGTACTGTAGAATACAAGCTTTCGATTGGAACAAAAATTATGTTTCATAGTATGCGGCGTAGTGTTGAGCTTTTGCATCTTTTTTGTTATAGAGCGAAAGAGGAAAGGCTGTTCGGGATTTTAAAGCACTGCCTGTGTTCATTATAAGAAAACATGATAAGAATATACCAGCGTACTGATTCCTAATCTTTAATTCCTTATGAATCACACATAACATTCACGGTATATGCTTTAAAACCCCATTTCATATATTTATTTACATGAATTCTCGTCACGTTGTAAAGGCAAGTAGGATATCTGGGTCTAGCCTAATCATACCCGCTTATACCCTTTGGTTTGGCTTGTCCATTCCAAGGGCTGTCAGGTCATTTCACTATTTGTAGTCTTCAATGCGTTTAACTAAATGCCTCTCAACTATTACACCTATATATTCCTATGTAAAACTTTGACCCACTGTTTGGCCCCACTATACCCCTGGGGGTCATGATTTGAACAAATTTGTATCTACCCTACCTTAGAATAACTCTTTATGAATACGACTGATAATGGCTTAACTGTTCTTGAGAAGAAATTTTTAAAGATATTTCCTATGGTTTGAACATATTTTATTGTATAAATAATATACAAATGGTTTGAACACAAGTTCTAACAACTTACGAGGTTCTAACCATAAAGGACTACAACTGTCAAGGTCTATATATAGAAAACAAAAATATTGATATACGAAATATTGTTTTAAACATACATTCATTACATGATAAATATATAACTAACTAGAGTTTTAGTTTTTGTACAGATTGAAAAATATATTTATTGATTTCAACATTTTGTGACTCATCTCCCCACAGAAGTAGGTGACAATCAATAATATTCAATTTAGTGTTTGGTGTAGTAAGAAACAGTAAGATTCTAAATAGTTCCTCTCTAGCATGTTGACACTTATTACAAACAAAGAAGAAATGATATGGGTCTTCTGGTGTACCACATGAACAATTAGGACTCTCAATAATGTTTCTTTTATAAAGATCATAATTTAAAATACAGCTGTGTCGTAGTTTAGTATGTATGATATGAAGTCGTCTGTTACCATAACAGAAATAAGGAGGGGTGTCTGCTGGTTTTTCATGTATATTGTTTTTAAAACTACTAAAAGTTGAGCTGTTTCTTGTGGCAATACTTAAACTATTCCATTGGTTTACTGTATCAGGAACAAAAGATTTCTTAAATATTTCGAGTCTGCATCTAGGAATAGTGTAGTCATCTCGATTACGTGTGTTGTAATTTGATTCAACACTCCTTATTGAGGGAAAAATACTTTTTAAATAATCAGGTACCAAACTGTGATGTACTTTAAACATAGTATTTAGTTTTCCTACTTTACGCCTCTCTGCGAGAGGTTCCCATCATGTTTCTAAATATAATGCATCTCTTGAAGCTATAATGGGTAACCCTGTAATTCTCGCAGCACAAAGCTGCACCTTTTCTAATTTTTCAACATCTTGTAGAGAACATCCATCCAAAACTATAGAACAATATTCAAGTAGTGGTCTAATAAAAGTTATGTACATGTTAGATAGTGTGTTTCTACCAATGTTGTATTTCCTATATTTTCCTATGGTAAACTTTGAATTCCTGTTGTGATCCTGTCCTGCCCCCAGGGGTCATGATTGGAACAAACTTGAATCTACACTACCTGAAGATACCTCTTTTATAATATGACTAATCATGGCTTTGCTGTTCTCGAGAAGAAGATTTTTAAAGACATTTCCTGTATATTCCTATATAAAACTTCGACCCCCTTTTGTGGTCCCGCCCTACCTCCGGGGGTTATGATAAGTACAAATTCGAATCTAGAGTACTTGAACCTACACTACCTGAAGATAACTCTTTTATAATATGACTAAACATGGCTTTGCTGTTCTCGAGAAGAAGATTTTTAAAGACATTTCCTGTATATTCCTATCTAAAACTTCGACCCCCTCTTGTGGTCCCACCCTACCTCCGGGGGTTATGATAAGTACAAATTCGAATCTAGAGTACTTGAATCTACACTACCTGAAGATAACTCTTTTATAATATGACTAATCATGGATTTCCTGTTCTCGAGAAGAAAATTTTTAAAGACATTTATTAAAGACTTTCCTGTATATTCCTATGTAAAACTTCGACCCCCTTTTGTGGTCCCGCCCTGCCTTCGGGGGTTATGATAAGTACAAATTCGAATTTAGAGTATGTAATGAAGCTTTCACATAAGTTTCATCTTTTCTTGACCAATGGTTCTTGAGAAGATTTTTAAAAGATGTCACCAAATTATCACGAGTTCCTAATTGTCTCCACTTGGAAGAGAGCGTGGCACTTCCTGTGAAGAAACTAAACTCCCTTCACCCAGGGATACTTTGTGGCAATTCGGTTAAAATTGGCCCTGTGGTTCTTGAGAAATCGAAAATGCGAAAAGTTTACAGACGACAAATGGACGCTTGACATTATTTGATCAGAAAAATACACTTAAGCCTTCGGCACAGGTGAGCTAAAAAGAAAATAGGTTTCATCTTTCAGTGATCAATAATACGATTTCAGCATTGTTTTACGTTGATCATGAAAATCAAATAAAAACGTAATTTATAATCATGATTACGTAAATTTTCTTGATAAGTTTATTACCTGAATAACAGAATACGAGTAATGACACACACACAAGCTACTGTATAAAAAACAATGGGATATAACTCTTGCATTTTACAATATCCTGTCAATATTCACCAGTGTTTTAATTAAAGCGCATAAATATTCTTAGCTTTTATATGAAAATTATTAACTGGTACCCAAGTTACATTCTGAAATACTGGGGTCTTGCATACAGGTATTATCTGCTTTTTATTAACCAATGTTCACTTTCTCATCTTTTCCTCGTAAAGATAGATATTCCATTTAATAAAACATTCATGTAAAACTTAATTTTCAACAGATTTGAGAAATGATTCTTGTAATCGGATCAGTGGGTCATACTTAACGTAGATTACGGAAATAAAAAAATATTTGACTCTAAAGAAATTATTGCGCATTGCTACTAAATCATCAACTTATCTGTCAGTAGCCTGCCTCGGTTAATTTTTTATCGTACTCAGAGCTTGCTTATGAGTATTGAATAAGTTGGGAAATGAAAACCCTATATTAATACATAAATATTTAGGAAAGTTGACAACGGAAAAGCTGAAAGCTTACGATTTAGATTTTACTTGGCCCTTCCAAATAAGAAACAGGTGTGACAGACTCTGTTGTGTCTTTCGGGGTTCACTGGGATATTTTGAGATGACATATGAATAGGAATAACCTTGATAATTGAAAAAAACATCTTCAAAATACCTGAATGAACATTTGTATATCTTAAAACTGGTATTTAAATCAACCAGACAAGTATGAGACCTTCTGTAATGTAAAGTGGGTTTACATCACATGTACATTTCAGGGCCGTAATGATCCTCATAGACCACCAGCAACTCGGTCACATTTTTAAGTTCAGAAGGTCATATGAGCAATTTTTGGCTCGTTTCTATTGCTTAATTGCTACAAATTCAAAATGCTGTAAAATTGTTATTATGCTAGGCAAAGAATTCCAACAACATATTTTTACCCTTAAAAATAAATTTGAAGTTTCAAATGTTGGATCAGGAATAACTTTGAATTTTGTAAAGATTTGCAAACTCTATTTTAAGAATATTAACAGAATTTTAAGAGTTGTCTTTCTTTATTATTTGTATATTTAAAATATTCATTGAAATTTTGAAAAATCATCCAAAGCTGCCATGTTATGTACAAAACAATTAAAAATATATACGTTTGATAATGCATATGATTTATTGTGTGACAAGCATGACTGTTCGGACCTAGAGGGCGCTGCGATCTAATTGGTGCAAGACAACAATGCATAGTACTAAAACAAGTATATTAAAAAAGAACAGAACTAAACAACCTTGCTATCAGAGGGTTCATCATGGTTTTCTTATAGACTTCCGGACAATGAAAGAAAAGTAAGGACAAGCTTCACATGTAAAACGAACCAAACTATACTGGATTATCAATACCTTACAATTTAAATTTAAAGCTGAACATGGTTCATAAAAGGAATATGTCCGCCATTTTCGATTATTCGCTCCCTATATCTGAGGGCCCCTATATAAGCCGCTCACTTAGTCGCTGTTCAGTGTAATCAGATGTCACCGGTGTAGACGGACGCATGCTACACAGCACTTGATAGCGATAAAAAATAATAAACTCGTACTTCTACGGCAGGAGAGTAAGATAACAAAATCAGCTGTACAGATCAGTGCAGTAAACAAACACAAATACACATTAGTGCAATAAAGTAAATAAACAAAGGCAATGCAAGATAACCAACCCGGCGCGGTGGTAGAGCGTCTGCTCTAGAGTCGCGGAGAAAGGAGTTGATCCTTACGTCGCGGGTTCGAATCCCACTGTGGGACGTGGAGAACGGTTCTTCGGATGAGACTTAAAATACCGAGGTCCCGTGTCGCAGTAGATGTTGGCACAAAAAAGATCCCTCACTGCTCAATGGCCCTAAGTGCCGAGTAGAGGTAAAAATTTACAGCTCTCCACCGGCAATTGGTGGCGTCTCCATATGAGTGAAACATTCTCGAGAGGGACGTTAAACAACAAACAAACGAACACATGTTGCCATTCCACGCCGATACCCGTGACAAAAAAGCAGTCAGGTGTAACGAATGCGAAAGGTATATCCTGGTGCTGATATTGAAGATAGCATAATCGAATATGGCGTATGCCTATTTATACGAGTCGTGTTCAGCTATATATAACAATACGTTGAACATATGTTTTTATTATTGTACTGTTGAATACTAGTGTTGTTTCTAGTAAGACAAGATTTAAAAAGCATATCTTAAGCTGAAAGGTGTTTATTATAAAATACTTTTGATTCACAAAATGCATCCATGGATGTATCTTCATCAGCAACATGCATTATATGACCTTAATAGGGCATTTCTTTTGCGCCGTTTTCCATACCTGAAAAGATGCAAGAAATTCCTAATGAAGGAAAACATGAACATTATATGACATGATTATAAGAAAAAAGCATTTTCTGACCAATTTCTTTTCATTTAGAAATTTTAAGGGACCAGTAATCTTTTTATGAAATTTACTATTTTTCATACTTGTGGCTACCGTTTTTATAAAAGAAACCCCTTTACAAGTTTAGCGATTCTATCTTATGTTTAGGTCATGACAGAGTTTTTTTTTAAATACTTACAAAATAAGATCCTTATACCGGCAATTTACATGTGCACACTTATTTCCTGCCCTGGCCAGTAAATCAGGCAATGTTAAATCTGCAACATATCTTTTGTCATATCTTAAAACAAAACAATATTTCTTTGAAATTATACATTGTTTATTTAAAAAGGAATGACTTTAAAGCCATTCATTATATATTTGAATATAGTCGATAGGTTTTATTTAATAAACCCCTAAAATATGGATTTTGGAATTACCTAGGGATCCATGCTGTATTAATTCTGACAAAAAGGAGAAAGAAAACAAGACACAGGTGGGCACTATGGTTCATTCCTAAAACAAATAAAAAATCAAACACTTACGCAAGTACTACATGTATCACCAAACACACACACAGATATACATATATACAAGGAGTAGTTACCCCATATAATTTTGTTAGTTATGTGCAGACACCTGATGAGCGTGTTCATAATGATACGAGGGTACGTAGCTCCCGAGTTGTCATCATGACCACGCCCATCGGGTACATGTATATGCACACAAGTGATTATATTATATGGGGTAAGTGACTTGTACCATAGTTTAGTAAAATTGATCATATACAAGTCTTTTACAAGTAGTACAAATTTAGACTGACTTGCAGTATTGAAACAATGTGCTTGTTTTCAGTAATAATTTTCTCTTTTTTTTATCATCATTTTTTTTGCTAAAATTACTTAATCTCACATAAAGACATAAATATGGTTAAATTCATCTCTAAACACAAAACTTAGATGTAAGTCTTTTCTACTTTGTTGACATCCAATCAATGAAAGTCATGTGATCTGATTTGAATGTGTAGTTCCAAAGATAATGTTTAGTTAAGAAGAGTAAAGCACCTCGTATTTATTTTGAATTTTTTGGGTGTTTTTATAAGTCAATCCTGTATCCAAAAAGAATAAAATACAGACTCTATTCCCCAACAGCTATAACAAATGCATGCAAAATGATAAAAGAATACAAGATCATGGAAGATGTTTCAAGTGCCTAACTCACAGTGGACAGAGAAACTACAGTTTTTGGAAACAGTCCTGTGCTGGAGTGATTTGATTGATTGATTGTATGTTGTTTTACGTCCCATTCGAGAATTTTTCACTCATATAGAGACGTCACCATATACCGGTGAAAGGCTTCAAATTTTGACCTTTACTCGGCACTCAAGGCCATTGAGCAGTGAGGGATCTTTATCGTGCCAACGCCTTCCGTGACACGGGGCCTCGGTTTTTAAGATCTCATCCGAAGGACCCGCAACTTTCACTTCAAAGTGCCGAGCGCATGGCGAAGGAACAGTTGCTTTCGATTTTTTATCGACTTAGGTCAGTCGCGGCCGAGATTCGAACTCACGACCTCCCGATCACGGAGCGAGCGCTCTACTGACTGAGCTACCGTGAACGGTCTGGAGTGGTTTGAAGAAGCAAATCCTGTTGGACATTTTAAGACGATGGCAGCATATGCGTATGGTTACACTAGACAAGAAAGTATTGATATTGTCTCTGCTTATGCTGTGCATCTTGGTAAAAGAACGGAGGACAAGCCATTTACAATGAAATTTCTTAAGAGATGGCCTAACCTCAAGGTATTAAAACTAAGGGGACTTGAACTTGTGAGAGCATAGATGGCTTCCAAAGAGACAGCTCAGAATTATCGGGTATTTCAAGAATCTTTTTAAAACACTCTTCCTACATATGATATGTATGAGAAGCCTCATTCCATTTATAACATAGATAAAGGGTATATCCATCGTCCATAAACCACCTTCCGTTGTGAGTGACTCTGCCTACTGCCAGGCTGTGATATCTGGTCGCGACATCTTGCAGCCCATGGATGTCTCCTGCCACGGTCCTCTCGAGAAAATTTACAGGTGCCAAAAATCGATGAGGGAGTCCTGTGCTCCCATTACCAGATACAATGTAAGTGAGGTTGCCGGCAAGGCATATACTAGAAAGCTTTCTCCAGAAAATATTCAGTCTGGATTTAGGAAAACAGGTATTTACACCTTGAATTCCGAAGTGGTAAGGATGGCATATTTATATTTATATCCAGCAGAGGTGTTCAAACAAATGGACCCTGGTGTTCAAACAAATGGACCCTGTTGTAAACACAGCAGTGAAAAGAATACACACAATGGTGACAATTTAGACATTAAAGAAGAAGATGCTTTCTAGAGGATTTAGAGTACAGAGAAAGGCACTTAAAATGGCAAGGAAGGTAATTTCTGATAGACCACCATCTGAGCCATCAAAACAGGTAAATTTCATAAATGCATTGTTTACCTTTAAGGACGATGACGATAATCGAAAAGCAAAACGGCAGAAGCTTGAGATCTTGGGAAGATATGCAGTTTTCCTCCAAACAACGAATGGAATTCTGCGAGGATTATATAGGTAATGGTCTATATCTGCCACCAAAACAAAATTTTGGGGGGAATTTTAAAGTTCTAAGAAGTTTATAATTATGCAGACTTTAAAACATTACACACTTTCATCCATCGTAACGTCATAAGTTGAATATGACCTAAAATTATTTCGAAAGAAAATAGTCTATTTACGTAGATGAATTGATTGACTGGAAAATATCCAGCACAGACCTGCTCAGACTCCATCTTTGGATATAATATGTGGGAAGGTAATAAAAAATGTAGAGTTTCTGGGCAAATTGGCGCTTTCTATTAATTGATAAGTCAAAATTGAACAAAACGTGTACGGTTTGTCTTTATAAAATTACTCTTAAAAGTTTATGACGTCACATGCAGACAAAAAATGCCCCCTTCAATAGTATATTTTGCCGATTCAGATTTATTTTATTCAGTATTATACCAATGTGCACATTTCAAGAGATTTTAAAAATTGTTTTTATGAGGACAGGGATATGTCTTTACGGTACGTAGTTCTTAGATGCAGAGAACCATGTACAAGTTATAGAGGGGAGTCCCAGAGGAAACATGAAAAGAGTAACTACCATCAGCTTGCCATCAGTTTGGAAAGGGACAGAATATCATCTTACACACTGGATTTTTATTTTTTATTTTGGTAGTTTATGAGAGAGTGAGTATTTAGTGCTCTAGAAATATTTAAAGATCAACAAAGAAACTGCATGCTTAGTCAAATAGTACTGAATTCCTTACTGTTGGTATCAAGTCAGAAACCTCAACTTGAACATTTAATTTTTCATGAAAAGACTGCAGTCGTTTGGAAGAATTCTAAGCCAAGAATTGTTGATGATTCAATCAATTTGAATTCATTTTCATTTGTATATCAAATTATGCAAAGGTTATTTGCCTTATTTTTCTTCATCCACATACCGTATAGCTGGTTTTTTGGCGGGACAGAAAGAACTACGCACACTTACTCTCGATTCCCGAATACATTTTACACCCATTTAATTCAATACTAATGGCAATTTCGCCGTAAAATCTTTGTTGAATGCAAAGAACAGTTCAATGGTAATTGACTGATAATTTTAATTCCAGTGTTAAAAAGTTAATTACCCCTAATTCTAGCTATTTAAACAAGGGGTTAGACGATATTTTTTCATTGAAATCGGGCTTTAAAGTATCACCATATTTTAAAATATTCTTGGATATGAATAAATGTTCCTCAAATCTTTTCTTATGTTTTACTCATATAAAATTTAACAAATATGATTAATAAAATACTTTTAGTCGTAGACCTCTTTGAAATTGGTGAAAAAATAAGCATTTTTGTAGTTTTTTGTCTGTAAACATATGTCCCCCCCCCCTCCCGTGAAACAAAAAGCTTTGGTATGAATTTGTGAAATGACAGTCCATATTACCTGTAAAAAGGAATTTTTGTTTCACGGGGGGGGGGGGGGAGAGAGAGAGAGAGATGTTTTAAAATATTTTCCGTTGATTTCTATACTGAAAACACAAGTTTTACCAAATTTATAGAGTTATCTCTCTTCGTTTTCCCAAAGAAGTAATGTTTTATGAAAATTCATATAAATATCTATAAAGATATTAAAAATTACTCAAATGTGTTAACTTTTTAAAATTGACTGGGAGGTAGGCGGGAGAACAATACTATCGTTCGCAGTTCTTTGGCCATTTTAGGTTGCCAAGTTTGGCGGATCATATTTTGGTGAATTCAAAACTATTATCGTAAAATCGCGTGTAAAGGCCGCACTCTTATAATGGATGCACCCCCAAAGTTATAAATTAGGGGAAAATCTTGGTGAAAACGCAGATCTTATAGATAAATGCACCCAAAAATGCAAATACAGGTGTAGCTCTTAATTTAACTGCACAAGTAATGTGAAGAACATGTTTTTTTAAATATTTGTATCATTTTAAAAACGAAAGTAGGACACAAACTTATTTTTTCTTTGCAAATTCAGCTTACATTTAAGCTCCACTTACATGTAATTAAGCCTATGTTGTATTTTAATTGTTCTATGTTTATAGCTTATGTACCTAAATATTTTTTTTCTTAATCCCCCCCAAGCATGTTACGACATTTCGCTGACAATTAATGCATTCCAAGCACATGTCTGTGTTACGTAATCAAACCATCTCATCGCAATTACTGTCACACGTAAGCCTAAACTGTAGAGGAATTTTTAAAAGTGGATTTTTAAACTGCTATCATTTACAATACTATTTAAGACTATTTTGAACAATAATTCCGTTATTTTAGAGAATTAAAATTTTATGAGAAAGACTCGTTTTACATAGTAGATATACTGAAACGCAAAAGAAACGCAACATCCTATTTTAGGGGGAAATATTATAAATAGAATATAATTTTGTATCTAAAAAGTAAGGACATCTTCAACTTTGTAAATACCGGTAATTTAACGGTTGATTGATTTTCATACCATTACCGGAAGTTAAGTTCGAGTCCGCTTAACAGAAATCAAAAATTGCATGTTTAACAAAACAGTTGGCAATAATATGGGGTTTGAACGGTTTGTATCTGTTCATCATAAGTAATGCAGCAATATTTCGAAAAATAAATTCTCCTTTCTTTTCCGAAAGCGATGCCAAGGATTCCTGAAAATGACGTTAAGTACGCATTTCCATTGCTCTAGCTGGAGAATCTCAAAATAAAGGTGATGGAAAGTTGCAGATGCAAATATGCACTACATCACACGTCAAGAGGCTCTTACGTATCATTAGCATGAATGACAGTCCTTGGACCGGAAGTCCAAGGGTTACTACACTGCGCTAGGCTAGAGAAAATTCGACCTTATTATCTGAAAAACGAGCATTTAAAAATGGCAAAGAATATTCCTTTCGCTCAGATCTCGAGATAGATTAACCTATTGCATCGTAG